CCTCTGGGCAAGGTCTGAACAAGACTCTTTTGGCAATACTAAAAGTAAATAGAGCTAATTGACTTTTAGTATTGGAGAAAAATTGGAGTTGCGGAAAAATGTTTCTACTATTGACAAGATATCACTATTGGTCAGACAACATTAGTTTGTTTTTTTTCTGTGTGCTCGGGTTTTGTATTTTTTAAACCGCTATATTCTTTATGCTGTTCGGCTCAAAAGCCTGGTATACAAAAAGGATCAAAACAAACTTATTTTGGCTCGAGAGAAAAAGAAGAGTCAAAAATGTATGAAAGGAAGGGGGGACAGGCCCACCCCTCCTTAGAATACATTTTCTGAATTTCTGGGTTTGATATGATTAGACTTTAGACATGGTTGGACCTATGGTTGGATATGGTTGGATACACACACACCCTCCAATCAAATCCTTTTGTATGTTCTTGTATACAAACAAATACTATCTTACATATTTTTTTTGGATCAAAGGAAATAGAAAGTTCGAAAATGTATGAATGGGGGGGGGGACAGGCTCACCCCTCCTTGGAATACATTTCTGGGTTAATTATGATTGGATGTGGTCCTGCTTAGATTTGGTTGGATACACACAAAATTCTATTTATGCCCTTGTAGTCTGACACCGGCTTCAACAGAGAAAGTTGATTCTAGCATAAAATGAAACACATAAAAAACAAAAACACAATCAAACCACAGAATCGCCAAAAACAACCCGACAAGATTCACCAGAAAAAAACACACCAAAATCAAAAAACACAAGCCACAAAAACAATCTTGACAAGTTTTGATTATTTTGTGTTTTCCTAGTTTGTTTGTTTTTGTGTGCTTGTTTTGTATTTTTTAAACCGCTATATTCTTTAGGCTGTTCGGCTCAAAAGCCTGGTATACAAAAAGGATCAAAACAAAGTCGTTACAGTACTTTTTTGGCTCGAGAGGAAAAGAAGAGTCAAAAATGTATGAAAGGAAGGGGGGACAGGCCCACCCCTCCTTAGAATACATTTTCTGAATTTCTGGGTTCGATATCCCCCTGCACATTTACCCCCCTGACTCAGGGCAACCATTTTGTAGGGGCCCCAGGAGTTAACCTTACAAATGTCCATGGTTAGGGGTTTATAAAATGGGCTGGGCAACATGCTTGGTGTGATTCCCCAGGAAACACCGGTGAACTCCAAAAAAAATCCAAAATCGGCTCCTTACAAAATGGGTGCCCCAAGTTAATTTCCAGGCCCCAAACCCAATCATCTTATAAGCTTGTGTCTTAAAAAATGGCTTGTTTGGAAGCATGCCTTGCTTGTACAAGTCCAACTTTCCCCAGGGAACCCCGCATTTTTTTCTCCCAGTCCCCGAAGCTTCGGCAACGCCCATCTTCACGAGGCTTCCTTCCTACACTACCGCAACATAGTTTCACTATGTTTTTTGTCAACATTTCTTTCCATGTTTTATGGAATTTTTCGGTGAGAAGCTGGGAAGCAAAACCACGCAACAAGTCATCTTACAAGATGAATGGTATGACACTGTCTGACATGATACAAGCACAAATAAAGAATTCAACTGGTACAGTCTATGCCAACCCTTTGGCCTACAGCAAAGCAGTGCATTCTGTAACCTTCACTGCGGGACTCTCACATCTACATCACATCCCATAAATCCACACAAATCCTGCAACAATTCAACAGTCTCCCTCAGCACCGACTGCAGATAAGGCTCTCATCATAGTAGCAGTGATGATTGCTGAGCCTCGTTTTGCCAGCTTGAGTCAACGTCTCCAAAGAACAGCGCGAAACTCAGATGTCACCAGCGGCGGCAAGGCTCTGACAAAAGAAGGATGAGAACGGGGACGCATACATTCTTACAATTTGCGTTGGCTGCCGTCTGCAAATACATGGCCCCAGTATCGTCTACTTGTTTGATCTTGTTTGGAAATGTTTGGAACAAGATGAAGAAATAAATGCATAAATATACATGCAAATAAATGATTATAAATGCGTATAGATGCATACATATGCATACAAGTTTTTCAACCAAACCATTTTGTAGCATACTTTGTGACACCCTGAACTTCTCTGGGCAGTAACCCCTTTAGCCCCAAGCCCCAAGCCATTTTGTAAGAAAACTGGTTTCAAACCATCAGGCAAACATGAACATCAAGTTGCCCTGATCCAATGGAGATATCAACTAATGCCAGCAGTTATTTCCATCTATTTCCAAACTTGCAGCACCACAGCCCTTTCGACCTACCGAGAAGCGCCAGCACTGACGCTGTGAATTCCATTCTGGCTTGGGCACATCATGGACACACATGCCTACCCCGCATGTTGAAGGGTAACCTGGTGGTGGCTCACGCGCTGCCATGCTAGTTGCGCAGTGGGGAAAAAAGCCAAAACAGCTGAAGATTGGCACCGTGCAGATGCAGAAAAATGTCCCAGTTTTGGAAAAAAATACCACAAAGTTTGATATCACCTTTTCTGGTTGGTTGACTTAGTGGTGTCTTGCCGGTTCTTCACACATCAATGATGGAACCCAAAAAAAAAATAGAGAAGAAACCCTGATTCCTGGACATGGCCAAGATTTCAATACCCTTTTTTACACTGCCTGAAATGAACCCAAAATTGCGTTATGAAATGATTGGCCCCGAGTTCATTTTGTAAAGAAAATTGGCTCTTACAAAATGATTCGCCCAGCAAAAAACATGCTTTTTACAAAATGGCATGGTTGACCAGAAAAATGTCCTTACAAAATGCCTCCTTTTGTTAGAAAAATGACCCTGGAATGGAACATGGGTCAAGCCATTTCATAGTGGAAATGTACACAGGGATGGTTCGATATGATTAGACTTTAGACATGGTTGGACCTATGGTTGGATATGGTTGGATACACACACACACACCATCCAATCAAATCCTTTTGTATGTTCTTGTATACAAACAAATACTATCTTACATTTTTTTTTGGATCAAAGGAAATAGAAAGTTCGAAAATGTATGAATGGGGGGGGGACAGGCTCACCCCTCCTTGGAATACATTTCTCGGTTAATCATGATTGGATGTGGTCCTGCTTAGATTTGGTTGGATACACACAAAATTCTGTTCATTTGCCCTTGTAGTCTGACACCGGCTTCAACAGAGAAAGTTGATTCTAGCCAAAAATGAAACACATAAAAAACAAAAACACTATCAAAACACAGAATCGCCAAAAACAACCCGACAAGATTCACCAGAAAAAAACACACACCAAAATCAAAAAACAAAAGCCACAAAAACAATCTTGACAAGTTTTGATTATTTTGTGTTTTCCTAATTTGTTTGTTTTTGTGTGCTTGTTTTGTATTTTTTAAACCGTTATATTCTTTATTCTGTTCGGCTCAAAAGCCTGGTATACAAAAAGGATCAAAACAAAGTCGTTACAGTAATTTTTGGCTCGAGAGGAAAAGAAGAGTCAAAAATGTATGAAAGGAAGGGGGGACAGGCCCACCCCTCCTTAGAATACATTTTCTGAATTTCTGGGTTCGATATGATTAGACTTTAGACATGGTTGGACCTATGGTTGGATATGGTTGGATACACACACCATCCAATCAAATCCTTTTGTATGTCCTTGAATAGAAACAAATACTATCTTACATATGTTTTTGGATCAAAGGAAAAAGAAAGTTCGAAAATGTATGAATGGGGGGGGGGGCAGGCTCACCCCTCCTTGGAATACATTTCTGGTTGAATTATTATTGGATGTGGTCCTGCGTAGATTTGGTTGGATACACACAAAATTCTGTTCATTTGCCCTTGCATTATTACACCAGCTTCAACAGAGAAAGTTGATTCTAGCAAAAAATGAAACACATAAAAAAACAAAAACACAATCGAATCAAAACACAGAATCGCCAAAAACAACCCGACAAGATTCACCAGAAAAACAACAACAAAAAACACAAAAACGGCAAAAAACATCAATCAAAACCTGAAGTTTGACAAGTTTTGATTATTTTGTGTTTTCCTAGTTTGTTTTTTCTGTGTGCTCTGGTTTTGTATGTCTTAAACCCTGTATTCTTTATGCTGTTCGGCTCTTTCGGCTCAACAAGCGAGGGGTGTGGCCAAAAAAGGCTTTGGGAAGAACGGCGACCGGCAAATTAAACATGTTTTTTTTTCAGTTCAGCAACTTGGGTGTCTAGAAAACATGAAAAGTATAAAACTAAGGGGGCAGTGAATTCGAGCTGACCTATGATTATCCAAAAATAGACACACGCACGTAAAATGTATAAACCGGGGGGTTCATGGAACACTGAGGACTCCTGGGGATGCCCACGGAATGGTTGGCCAACACGTACGTAAAAAGTATAAAGGCTCAGGGGTTTAAAACCCCTAGGAACCCCAGGAATTCCAAAACCTGTGCAAAATGTATCAAACTGGGGGGGGGGGTGGTTCGAACTGCCTTTGTCCACCCCATCCATCTTCCACCCCCCCCCACGAACGCTACGTGGTGTATAAAATTTTTCCCTGGGGAACCCTAGGAAGAAACACGTAAAAAGTACAAGTTTGGGAGCGTACACCCCCCCTCTCTTGTACTTTTTTAGGGGGTGGGTGATGTTAAATTACCATTGTGGTATGCAAGGTTCCTGTCCGATCCGTTCTTGTCTAAATAAGGATTTAATGTACCCAGTGGTGGGCATTCATCATCATTCATCCTCTTTTTCCCCCTGGAATGACTAATGGGCCACACAAGGGTTCAATATATGTTGTTTTAGTTACCAGTTAACACCTCTCTCTCTCTCTATTTTTTGCCAGGGCTTCTCAGAGGATTTGCCCCCACTCTGTTAACTAACTCCATAGCTAAACTGCTTGGTGGTTTCAACCCCTCTGAAAAATATTAGTCAGTTGGGATGATTATTCCCAATATGTGGGAAAATTATAAAAAAAAATGTTCCAAACCACCAACCAGTAAATCCTGTTACATCCCTATGTTTTGCCAATGGTTTGTGGGTTCAATAGCCATCCTTCCATGGGTCACCCAAGGCGCTCTCCGAGTGCAGCGGCGTCAGCACCGTGCGGCACATCGGCAGCTCCCGAAGACGGCCGAGGCCGTCTGAATGGCGCGGCCTCGGCGAAATTTTCCGAGGAAAACTGAGGATCCAAGGATTTTCGATGATTTCTGTGAAGATTTTGTTGATGATGTTTAATGTCTCAAGGATTTTGTTGATGTTCAAATCCAAGAGATTTAGTGGATCTTCATGGGGGTATGATGATTTTTAAGTAATCCCCCCAAACAATGAACTTTTGAGCAATTGGGAAATAGGGTTGAACATGGGTAAAATTCATCAGTTCTTTGGTGGTCAGTCGCTCATCACTCATGTGTCATGGTACCAGTAATGCTCACGGTTCTCATATCCCTTCATTCTCATTCAATCAGTATAGCCGCGAAAAAGGAGGCTATTGAAACCAATCCTGGAGATTCTACCAGTTGCCAACTACAAAAATTGTGTCGCTGTTTCTTTCATTATCCTTCCCAGCTAGGATGGATCATACTAATAATCAACCTACATTAGTCCATGCCAAATTTTTAGTCTTTCTGTTCAAAAAGGGCATCGAACTTGCCGGTGAAATGCCCGAGACCGGTGAAATTCTCATGATTTTGTTGGAAAACCATCAGCCGATTGAATCCATTTGGAACTTCCTGGTTAATATATGTTTGTTCCATCTATCCATTTCTATCCCGTTGTTTTTCCCTTGATATGGCTGGTCAAACATGAAACCCCCGGCATTGGGGGATCATCATCCCAGCGGAAACACTTGAAATATGCGTGCGCATGAAAGTGGTGTATAACCCCCAGTTATTGCCATTTATATAATGACAATGAAAATTCAAAAGTACATAGGTGGGCGGTTTTCCGCCATTTTCAAACAAACCCAAATATGTTCCCGAGTTGAAATTATTTGTCCCATGGAAATCCCCTACGCTTTCCTCGTCCCATTGAAGAATGATATCTGAAACCACCAAGCAAACCCATCAGTCCATCACCAAGCAGCTCAAAGGTGACACCACCAGCAGTTCGCAGCCAGCACTCACAAAAGGCACACTGCGCAGGCCTTGGCTAAGGCGATGTGAAGTGAACCCTGGGACGTGGCCAAGCTTAGATACCGTGCAGACAATGAGCTGGTCAGTAAAATGGTGGTTATTTGAAAACCAGTTGTGGTTAGATATTTGTTTACTTTCAAAGTAAAGGTCAAATGTACTCCAGTTATGGCGGAAAAAGGAACAACTGACTCATCAGTCGACCCAGCTAGGTTGCATTTTCGGTCAGTTATGCATGCTAAGCAAAATGAGCCCCATGACCCCAATCAACTCTAGACCTGCACAAAGTTCCATTTTAACTTACCTCTAACAAAGGTCATCTGACATACCCCCCTTTGGGTACTCCCTGTGATGTTTGAATTTATGCAATCATAGATACCCTGAAATATCAAAAAGGGCTGAGCACTGGATACCTCATCATGTAAGGCAGAAGGTTGATTGTATAAAGATGCATCGGCAGTAAAACTATACCACAACGTATCAAAAAATGACTCATTTTATTCCAATCAAAGGTTTACCACCAAAATTTACCCAAAGCGTACCAGCTATACCCAAATATATCAAAGTTCCTTACACTAATTATTTATCAATGATTGTGAAGGATTTTTATCAACCTCATGATCCCATATCACTGAGTAGTATACAATAATATGCCAATAGTTGAATACCCCCATAAAAAAGGACCATAAATATCTCCAAATAGAAACAACAGTATGCAAAAATAAAACCAATCATCAAACAAAAACTTCCCTGCAATAATATTAACAGTATGTATGTGGGTAGATAGATGGATGGATGGATGGATGGATGCATGGATGGATAGATAGATAGGTAGATAGATAGGTAGATAGGTAGATAGGTAGATAGGTAGATAGGTAGATAGGTAGATAGGTAGATAGGTAGATAGGTAGATAGGTAGATAGATAGATAGATAGATAGATATATGATTTGATATATCATATGTCATGCAGTGATGTGTATATACCAAGTGTACATACCATACCAATAATTCCACTGTTTCGGCATCTGCCAAGCGTCTCGCCGCCTGCGCATGGCCCAGCTCCGAGAGCATCGGGTCGCGCGGAACTTCGTCCACGTCGTGGTGGGCGTTGTGCCTTCGTCGAGGAACCGCGTCTTGGGGGCCCTTCTACAACTGGCCCACGTGGCCCAAATGCCCCGGGCATGGAATAATTCCAAGCTTATCCCCCACATGTAGTTACTTAACTATATACGGATGTACCTATAAATATATCTTTAATATTTTTAATATATATATATATATACATTTACTGTAATATAAACATACACCTGGATACACAATCATAATTCGATGAGGTTTTCTTGTTAACTCATCCAAACAGCAAATGAAAGGAATATTCCCTAATTATATCAAAATATTGTGCAAAATTTAGGTAAGTATACCATAAATGGAATTGATAGCTGCCGCAAACGAGTAGCTTAAATTATGGCATAGCAGCCAGCAACGATAACTGGAATGTTCCAACGTTTCAAGATGCAATGGATTAGTTGGCTGAAAAAAAGCAGGAAACCCAATTCTTTTACCATGTTTTTACCCAAATATAGAGATCCATAGTTGGCCCCTTGGTCACCCATTTCGCCGCCAAACCTGGCTGCTTCAGCCGTTGCATCCAGGTCACAAGCTCTGTCCATGCCGCACAAGGAGCACTTGTCGCCCCGGGCACTGCGTGCCATGACCTTGGGGCTGGAAATTGCGGGATTGACCCATTGAAAAGGAGTCATTTACCCTAGGGAAATGTGGAAAACAAGCATGGTTAGATTTAGATCATTGATATTACATGATACAACATGGGGCAGTCTCACAAAATGGAACCCCAAACCCCCATGGCATATCATAACTCATTAAAACAGCAAGTTCGGGGTGCGCCTCTTACTGAGACAAACATGGCAATTATAGGCGGTATGGTCATCCATCCCGCAATGGGAGTCTTCATTTATATCCACCGGATTGATAACATCCCCCATTTGGGGAAAAGAACGCTGGCACATGTAGACGAAGTGGTTCCACGCCCTTGCATGGCACTCGGCAAATCTCGGCCACCGCAGCCTATTTGTGAACACATTTGGGGAGCACTGAGGTCCCTACCACCTGTGGTCATATCATGGCATTGCTCAGCTACCTTCCTCTGAGCCAATGAGAAGCACCCGGCACCATGTTCCACGGTAAAGTTCCATGGCGGAAATCAACTAAACCTCAACGATCAAACATGGGATTTAACCAACAATGGGAACAGAATGGGCACAGTGTATGGCATCCCCCTTCACAGCTGGGTATTTCGTAGGCAATGGCAGGGATGGGCCTCAAAGTATTGGTGGAACATTGAGAAAACCCCACTGCTCTGAGTCCCCAAGAATCATGGGACATACCCCTGAGGCTCTTGGCCCTCATTAAATCTTAGCATGTCTTGAACAATCGAAGGGACAGCCGCAAACCATGACAACCAAGTTGAACCAAGTTGGGTCGAAGGATTGATGGATATGTTCCATATATATATACATACATATATATACCTTTGATTAACGCGGAGTATGGCTGCACGGTTCATACCAAGTCAACTGACTATGTCAAACACCTTAGTTTCATAGACTTCAACAGGGAACATGGCTTCCAATATCTTTCAATTCCGGGAGGCCGGTCAACATCTGTATGAGTTGATTTACAGCAGTACTCGCACACACAAAAAACTGTGCTTCTGCAGCCGCGCTTCAAATGTACGAGCAAGAGTTGAATCATCTGGTACTTAGTGCTGAAGGCAAAGGTGGCAGGATGATTTGACAGGCCCTTTCTTTGGTCCCCAGAATCCTCAAGACTGCCAGCTTTTGCATTCGCGACACACGTCTAAATTCTATAGGTTGGTGCTCACAGCCTGTCCCATGATCTGGTTCAATCATCCCAAATCTGCATGATAAAAAAAGCCAATTGTGAAAACAATCGCCAAAATTTTTTGGATGGTGGCACGGCGGTCTAAGCGCCAATTCCCACTTGTTGTGTAGCTGTTCTTCCCAATTTTTTGGCTGAAATCTGCGACCCGCTTGGCGCGCCATCCCAAAACCCTCTGATCATCTGCGGGATCAAGGTCCCTGGAAGATCAAGATTCAAGGCTTCAGGAACTGTACAGAGCTGGGTCAAATGAGGTAACAAGATGCAACAATGATGCAACCCCCTGCTTGCCCCAAGAAACGACCCACTGATGTGTGCTAGTCACTAGTCCATTACAAATTGATGGCATGATTCCAATTCATAGGCGAAGACTCTTAATTTAGAAGTTTAGAAAAAAACGGGCGATAAACTGATGGTTGTTGGTACATGTGGATGTTTATCTCAAACCAAACCAAGACCTCGTAAAGTTTGCTTAGTCCATGGCCACTCTGAGCCGTATTCCGTTAAACAACACACGTGAAATCTGTGATCGGCTACAAAAAAAACTGTATCACCAAAGACATGCCATACTTCCCCCCGGTCCCAGCAAGGGAAGGCCCGGTCCGGCCTTGTGAGAAGAAGTTCTGAAGCACCGCAGCTGTGCACTTCCTGCGGGTTTGTTTGAGGTGACAATGGGCCATTCACAGCAGTTCTGATGGCAAAATGTTGCCTTTTTGTTCCCCCAAAGATCGGCCCAGCATTTGGATGGTATCCAGTCAGGCGGTCTACCACTAAAGAAGAAGTAAATGGATCTTTGGGCGTCAAAAAGGCCTCGATCCACCACTATATTGAAAGATCATATTCCTGAGAAGCGACATGTTTGCCTCCCTGCTTCTTGGGCACAATGCTTTGCCATCCATGTCCACAAAACCACTGAAACATTCAAAAACTCATATTTCACGCCCTCATTCACGTGCCAAGTCAATCCATTAGCATACCATTTGTATCCATTCGTTACTAAAGGTGGTTTGTTGAAACTGGTGTCTTGTGAGGGCCCCGAGATGGGAACCAACACGGACCAACCCCTTCCGGCCGCAGAAGTCGCATCCGGCGCGATCGCAGCCTTGGTGCTGTGACCCACGGTGAAGATCATATCATGGATCGTAAGTGGCTAATACCCTCAGTTAACAAATCCCAGATCTAATAATTGATATATGCTATGTCTGTCTGTATATTGTATTTATACAAACGGATATATGACTCATCTATGGAGTGATTTTTGGATTACATTATAAATGCTACTAAGCGGGGTGATCCTCCATCCCATGCCGTTCTGACCACCCGGACCCGAGCTCCAGTGGTGGAGAAATGGGCACAAATCAAGAAAAAATAAAGATACTAAAGTGATATGCTAGGCCTGCATGAACTCTTGCCATCCAATGACTTTATGTGGTTCTTGAAGAATGAAACTAGAGTGTGAATCATCAGACTGTGGCTCGCACTTCCATCCTCAACACTCTTTGGATTTTTTTTCCAGCGTGACCCTTATAGGCATCACTCATGAAACTCGGATGCCTTAGGCATCATCTATTGTTGTTCTGATGTTGCTGAATAAATTTGTAGAAGTCGCCCACATCGTGCTCCTCGTAGGGGATGCGCAAGCGATCTAACCATGCGACTTCTGCGGTTTGCGACTTGCCTAGGCCCGTGCTATCGCGAACCTCCTGCAGTTTCGTCTCATCTTTGAGGTCCTGCAAGGTTGTCTGGCTATTCTGGCCGGGGCAAAATGGCCAAAGCATACCAAAGCAACAACAAAAAACATGTTTCAGTTTGGACTTTAGATTTTGCTTGATCTTGTTGGATGTTTTTCGGCTAGTTGCTTCTTCTGCGATTCAATGCGATTCTTGTCAAACCCTGCCCTGTCCTCCCAAGCCATTTTCCCACATCCCCTTTTCCCTTCAAAGTAGAAAACGTGAAACTTTTGCCCTTGCTGACCGGCTTTGTCCACGTTCTCCTTCCAGTCGGCAAACCAACGGCACCCCCAGGGCGCGCGGTAGCGGTTCTCCTTGCATTTGGCGGCCGCTTTCAAGAGTGCTTCTTTCTTCCTCGCGGTCCAGGAAGCATCATTTTCTGCTTGCCGAATGAGGAGAACCTGGCCCATCGCCTCAGCATCGCTTTTCTGGAACAAAAACTTCTGTTCCGTCAGGTCCTCCTCGACTGCGCTGAGGTAGGCTGCTGGATCCACGTTCCCATAGAGTGCTTGGCAGAAACAACTTCCGCATCCTTCAGGATCTTCAACGTGGTCGCCGAGCCCGCTCTGCTTATCGGTTAAGAAAACACAGGCCAAGCTGCAGAGGCTTGACTGTCCCTGTGCTTCCTTAACCGCATCATCCCACTCCTTAGCGCTCCAGCATGTGATCGACATCTCCCGGAAACTTCAAAACATGTCAAAACTAAAGCAGGGTGATGGCATCCATGGGGTTGTTTTTTGTGTGTATAAACTTAAAGTTTAAGGTGATTTAAAGTATAATGTAGCCCGACAGCCTTCACAGTTTACAGCTTGGACTTACTTTGGGGTGTTCTGGGTAACGGCCACGGCTGAGCAAACAGCAACCGCTCCAGAAAATGGTACTCACTTGTGGCCGCTAGCCTGTGGCTTCTAAAATATCTACTATTATGAGAATTTCTGCGAGCCACAAAATGGAAAGCATATGAAAGCATCATATTGTGACCCATGTTTCCCCTTTCATCCCAATCTAATCCTCATTCTGGAACATCACCAAAATCATCATTTCCTCACGCATCCTGATTCTCAAAACTTTGTGCGCAGGTAATGAAAATATCATCGAATCTGCATGTGCCATTCAAAACGTGATGCGTTAATGAAGGTTTCAAATTGTTTCAAAATGATTTTAGGAGAATGGAAAATTAAATGACAATGTTTCGCCAGTAAAGAAGGAAACTACAATTGTTCAACTAATAAAATGATGATGATGATGATGATGATGATGCCCCTGGTTCAAAAATATGTTTGGTTCGAAGATAAAATCGTTTCAGGACCAAGTGATGTTTTTGGAGGATGTAATAAAGATTTGTCGGTGATTTACTGAGCACTTGATGAGGACCTCAGGAGAAAAACATTGTTTTTTAGAAACTTCAATGATGTCAAGGATATGTTTTTTGCCTAGCTTGGGTTGCACTTGGATCAAGGACCACTGAGTGTCTCAATAAACGTCATGCTGCTCTCTGCCGACCTGTGCTGGAACCACAAATGCTGGTCGTGCCACATGCAACTTCAATGCCGCCCTCTAGGCCATCCAAAATATCCCAAAAAGTAAAACCCCAAAAGCTCCTGTTAGGCTAATTTCTAACTATTAGGTTGTTTCAATTTTGAAGGTTATTTTCTATCTATTAGGTTATTTCATTTCTTGACTATTAGGTTGTTTGTCTTTTTGCCCAAATAGGTTATTTATATGAATAACATTTTTTTCTTTAGGTTATTTATATGAATAGCATTTTTTTCTGTTTTTGTGTTTTGATGAAAAAGCTACGTTTTTTTTTCAAATTGTTTCTTTGAAAAACAGACTTTTTTTTATCAACGACCTCAAAGATGCTCAGCATTTTGTGACTATAATTGGAAGCAAAAAATCGAAGAATATCAAAACAGGTCACACAAGAAAACAAGCGTAACTTGATGTCTTTTTCAAGTTTAGGTTGAAAAATGGTTCAAGATCTTGAAGCCTTGGGAGTTTCTGGATGCCCGCGGTTTCACTGGTAGTGATGCTTGGCTAGATCAAATACAAGAGCATCAGCCTAGGAATGGCACCTATGTTGGGGCTATCCTGCACATTTATGGCATGTGTATTTGATAGACTTGGGTGGAAGCTGTATTCGAAACCCTGTCATGGGCCTTTGGTGGGCTTATGTTGGGTCACTTGGTGGCTCTGCTGGGCCTATGTTCGGCCTATGTTGAGCAAAAAGACGCCGCCATTTGGGCTTATGTTCAGCCAATTTCAACCCGGAAAAATTAGGTCTGGGTTGAGGAAAACCGCCCTTTCGGGCGATGCCCCAGCCATATTGGGCCTATCCTGTGCCAAGTTGGGGGTATGTTGGGCCTATCTTGCAGCAATTGGCACATCCACTGCTTGGGCTACACGTCGCAATTTTACATTGTATAAAGTTAAATTTGACATGACGCATTTTTTTGGCTTAAAATGAGGCTGTCCAGCAACATGCAAATATATCAGTGGAATATTTTGTTTGGATGGAACAAGCCAACAGGGGATGGAAACAAAAGAACAATGTATGTGTATGTGTATATATGTGTTTTTCTACATATTGATTTGTTTTTTTCTATTTATTTATTTGTCTATTTCATTTTATCTATTTACGTATTTTTTGAAAATCGATGCATGCATATCTACATTGAATCTACATATAGACATGTGCTGCAACACTGGCAATGGACAGTTTTTTCTGGGCGCCAAACCAGCACAGAATGGAGGGAAACAAACATTATCTTTAACATTTGTTTAAAACAAAACTTCCATGAATTAAAAACGTGCAAAACCAAACGCCCAAGATGGTAAATCAACAATTGTGAAAACAAAGGTTGACCATATAATTTGCAAGCTGCATTGGTGTGGAAAAACGGATTTCACGAAAAATCGCAGAATACATTGAAATTCATGGGTGCTCCTGGGGCTTCATGTGCGTTCATGGGTGCTCACTGGTGTTCATCTGTTTTTGCTTGGCTGTTTGGTTGTTTGGTTGTTTGGTTGTTTGTTTGTTTGATTGTTCGATTGTTTGATTGATTGTCTTTAAAACCCCACCCATTTTTTGATCTTGAAAAAATGGGATTGAAATGGAGGTCTCTGAGTGACTGTTCAGCTTTGGACGGGATTGGTAATAAACCACAGGCTGGAGAACACTAAGAGAAACGCATTTTGTGAAATCTGTGTGAACGCTGGGCGGCAATAATTTTTATATATAAACAAAAAACACAGGTTGGATGGGGTTTTACCTGTAAAAACAAGTGGTGGGCAAAAACATATTTGTCGACCAAATGCTCTGCAAGGATTGGTTGTAGAAAAAATCCAGGACACAAAACTGGTGGTTTTGCTTAATGCGCCGCCTTTGGAGTGCAGCAACTGTGCCTTAGCGACCCCGACCCATCATTAAGGAGTGTCCCCCAAAAAATCCCCAGACCCCAAGATTTGCCAATGACGTGGGATGATCAGCCTTTCTATTTCTGAAGGCAGTTAAACGCGCATTTTACCTATAATTTGGGGTCCCCAGCCTTTAAATTTATTGAAAAGCAAGGCCAACCCAGAGCCATTCTATCTGACATATCTTCTGGCATTCTATCTGGCATATGTTCTGGCATATCTTCTGGCATTCTATCTGGCATATCTTCTGGCATTCTATCTGACATTCTATCTGGCATATCTTCTGACATTTTTTCTGGCATTCTATCTGGCATATCTTCTGACATTCTATCTGACATATCTTCTGACATTCTTTCTGGCATATCTTCTGACATTCTGTCTAGCATATCTTCTGACATTCTTTCTGACATTCTTTCTGGCATTCTATCTGACATATCTTCTGACATTCTATCTGACATCTTTTCTCACATTCTTCCCGCTGAGGTCCGGCAGTGCCCACTGCGATCTGGAAGTCGCGGTTGAGGTCCGGCAATGCCCACTGCGATCTGGAAGTCGCGGTTGAGGTCCAGCAGTGCCCACTGCGATCTGGAAGTCGCGGTTGAGGTCCGGCAGTGCCCACTGCGACCTGGAAGTCGCGGTTGAGGTCCGGCTGTGCCCACTGGGATCTGGAGCTCGCGGTGGAGGTCCGGCTGTGCGCACTGGGATCTGGACTGCGAGGAGGAGGCGGCGGGTGAGGAGGCGGAGGAGGCAATGGAGGCGGAGGAGGCGGAGGAGGAGAACAGCTCTGATAAAATCTAACAACCCTCACCTTGCAGGTGGGGAATTGTAAGGTATTGAGGTGTAAGTTTGGTGTAAGTTTACATCAAACTTACACTTCATGGGGTGTAAGTTTACGCCAAACTTACACCCTTGAAGTGTAAGTTTACTCCAAACTCACACTGGCAAGTGTAAGTTTACATCAAACTTACATTTACCAATGTATACTTACACTTGCCAGTGTAAGTTTGCAGTAAACTTACACTTCGAGGGTGTAAGTTTACATCAAACTTACACTTCACAAGTGTAAGTTTGATGTAAGTTTGGTGTAAACTTACACCAAACTTACACCTCGATACCTTACATTTTGACCAAAGGTTGTTTTCAAAAAATCACTTGCCATTTTTTATCAAAAATACCGTTGTTTTAAGACAAAGAAAAAGTATTTTTGAGAAAAAAACTGTCAAGCACACACTTCCTTGGATAGATTTCTCCATGTTTAAGCCAATGAAATTGATGGCTGAAGCGCCCCAAGTCATGCAAAACAATTGGATCAACTTTTTCAGGGCATAAATTTGACATCCAGCAATGCCCAAGTGATTGACTGACTGTGGGTTGCAATGCCTTTTTTTGCAACCATAGATTCCGGAAAAACAATCCTTTAGTGATACATTGGCTCTGGGTTGGCCTTGCTTTTCAATAAATTTAAAGGCTGGGGACCCCAAATTATAGGTAAAATGTGCGTTTAACTGCCTTCAGAAATAGAAAGGCTGATCATCCCAAGTCATTGGCAAATCTTGGGGTTTGGATGTTTTGTCATGAATTGTCATGAATACAAATGTCAAGGCTGGAGACTCGCCTCAGTGATGGGTCAGGTTCGCTAAGGCACAGCTGTTGCATTCCAAAGGCGGCGCATGAAGCAAAAACAACAATTTTGTGTCGTGCATTTTATACCAAAGGAAACTTTAAATACATCCAATCGTCACCAAGCACTAAGCACTTGATGGATTTGTTCCTACCACTACAAGTGAAAGGCCATCCGAACCTTGACATGTTTTGGTTTATAAGATTGTTGCTGCCCATCATTAACGTGATTTCGCAAAGTGTTTTTCAAACCCAGGGTTTGCCAAGCACTTGGGGTTCTCCAACCTTTATATAAATGTATTGCAAAAAAAACAAACACAATCCAGTCCAAGGTTGAACAATCACTCAGGGACCTCCTCTTAAAACCTATGTTTATCTCAATATGGATGGATGGAACAAAAAAAACATCAAACAAACATGAACACCGGTGAGCGCCCATGAACGCACATGAACACCCATGATCACCAATGAATTTAAATGTATCCCATTGATTTTTCATTGATTTTCCAAAACACTGCAGTTTGCAATTTATATTTTCAGTCTTTGTTTTTTTAATGGTTGATTTATCATCTTGGGTGTTTGGTCTTGCGTGGTTTTAAGTAAAAGTATTTTGTTTACAAGACTTGAAAATCATGATAGTTTTTTTTTTCATCCTCGCTGGTTTGGCACCCAGAAAAACTCTCCATTGCCATTGTTGCAGCACATGTTTATATATAGATATAAACATATAGATCTAGATCAATAAAAAGATAAAGCAACACATATATATAATATATATATATATATATGTTGCTTTGTGTTTCCATCCCTTGTTGGTTTGCCCATCCAAACAAAATAGTCTTTGCAAGTTGCTGGACAGCCGCATTTTAAGCCAAAAAATGCGTCATGTCAAATTTAACTTTATACAATGTAAAATTGCGACGTGTAGCCCAAGCAGTGGATGTGCCAATTGCTGCAAGATAGGCCCAACATACCCCTATGGCTGGGGCATGACCCAAAAAGGACGGTTTTCCGCAACCCAGACCTAATTTTTCTTAGGTCTGGGTTGAAATTGGCTGAACAAAGCCCAAATGGTGGCATCTTTTTGCTCAACATAGGCCGAACATAGGCCCAGCAGAGCCACCAAGTGACCCAACATAAGCCCACCAAAGGCCCATGACATGGTTCGAATACAGCTTCCAACCAGGTCTATCAAATACACATGCCATAAATGTGCAGGATAGCCCCAACATAGGTGCCATTCCTAGGCTGATGCTCTTGTATTTGATCTAGCCAAGCATCACTACCAGTGAAACCACGGGCATCCAGAAACTCCCAAGGCCTCACAAAAGATCGTGAACCATTTTTTCAACCTAAACTTGAAAAAGGCATCAAGTTACGTTTGTTTTCTTTTGTGGCCTGTTTTGATATTCTTCGAATTTGTGCTTCCAATTATATTCACAAAATGCTGAGCATCTTTGAGGTTGTTGATAAAAAAAAAGTCTGTTTTTCAAAGAAACAATTTGAAAAAAACGTAGCTTACTCATCAAAACAACAAACAGAAAAAAATGCTATTCATAGAAATAACCTAAGGAAAAAATGTTATTTGATCATTCTGACTACAAGCACCGTACTTAAGTCACATCAGGCGGGAAAAGTCACATCATCCCCATGGCACGGCGGCGATAAGGAGAAGTCACATCAGGTAGTGGAAAGTCACATCAGGGAAGAAGAATCACCATGGCACAGCCTTTTTCATCTATACTTGGAGATGTAGTTAAAAGTAGCCGAAGCATTGCGCACAGCGATGATTTTGAAGGGCACAAGTTAATACAAACAAATTATAGGCAGCTAATCCTATTGGATTTGAATATATTATATTGATGTCCTGCGTCGCGTGATCAAATCAAACCCCTATTGGTACAGCCTCATCAAATTTCTTGCAATGCAAGTGGGTTAGTTGTAGCAAATCCTATTGGCAGGGCTGTGATCTAGGATGATATAAGCATATGGGGGCCCCTTGTTTTCCGCAACCAAATCTATGGCTGGCGCGATGTGCATCAATGTTGTGGGCAGCTTGCGAGATGGCGCGAGATGGCGCAGATGGTGAGCACAGCGACACAACCGCGCTATGCGACAGCAGTGTTTCATTCCAACCAGCCAGAAACATTCCCTCTCTCTGCTGGTGTCTCCCGCCCGTACCTCCCGTCAGCGCCAAACAAGGCGACCGAGACTGTTATTTTCTGTTTCGGCAAAATGTTTGCACGAGCGGCAGCAGCACCAGGAGGAAGCAGCAGCAGCAGGAGGAAGCAGCAGCAGCAGGAGACAGCAACAGCAGCAGGAGACAGCAACAGCAGCGGCAGCAGGAAGCAGCAGCAGCAGCAGCAGGAAGCAGCAGCAGCAGGAGGAGGAAGCAGCAGCAGCAGGAGGAGGAAGCAGCAGGAGGAGGAGGAAGCAGCAGCAGTAGGAGGAGGAAGCAGCAGCAGCAGGCAAGCAGCAGCAGCAGCAGCAGGAGGCAGCAGCAGGCAAGCAGCAGCAGGCAAGCAACAGGCAAGAAGCAGCAGGTAAGCAGTAGCAGCAGGCAAGCAGCAGCAGGGGGAGGAGGAAGCAGCAGCAGCAGGAGGAAGCAGCAGCAACAGGAGGAGGAAGCAACAGCAGCAAGCAGCAGCAGCAGCAGCAGCAGCAGGAGACAGCAGCAGGCAAGCAGCGACAGGCAAGAAGCAGCAGGCTAGCAGCAGCAGGCAAGCAGCAAGCAGCAGCATGGAGCAGCAAGCAGCAGGCAAGCAGCAGGTGAGCAGCAGGTAAGCTGCAGGTGAGCAGCAACAGGTAAGCAGCAGCAAGCAGCAGCAAGCAGCAGCAAGTAGCAGGCAAGCAGCAGGGAAGCTGCAGGCAAGCAGCAGGCAAGCAGCAACCAGCGTTTGCCCCCTTGAAAGAATAATCAAATATATTTTTTGAAAATCAACGCAATAAAAAAAATGAACTTTTTCCAGCCGCACGGCCCCAAAACAATGAAATCGTTCAAATACTAAAAGTTGTGGTGATGCCAAACTTGAACTTTTTCCAGGCGCACGGCCTCCCGATACGACTTTTGCAAGCTGATACGACTTAACGCTAGCGCTTGTATTAGGTAAAACAGTTGTTTTACCTAATAGGTAAAAACAACATTTAACTATATAATAGTCAGAAAACAACCTAATAGATAGAATTTAGCCTCACCAGAGCTTTTGGGACACTTGTAACAAACGTCTTGCATGACTTGACAAGCATATCAGAGTCAAAGGACAGGAGCTGCAATCAAGTTTCAGGACTCCCTGGAATGAAATTCTATGGCATCATTCATCGCATTTTCGAGGAAATCACGGGAAACTCAGATTATGGCCAAGGGATGCCAAGGGTCTTTGCTATACTTGCCCGGGAAGCTTACAATGCAATCCTTGGCTTCTGGGTTCACCTTCCCTGGGAAAGCGATTCGCTTGCCCTGGAGTCTTGCCATGTCGCCTATATCTTCCAGAGTGCCGGCCTCATATCCAAGTACGTGCATCGTGACAAGCATGAAAAAGGCATCCAAAGCGTGGTACCAGGCAAAGCCAACCTTAGGAACAACGAAATGCCCCGCTAGTGGCATAGAGACTGAATCCCAAATGCTAAGAACTGCAGCACATCGAAGAAAGAAGACCTCTCGATCAACTTGCTCTGCCCAGTTCTTCCGAATCTCTCCAAATTTGGATGCTTCCTCTGCCGCCGCCCACAAGGCCCATGCCTGCAACCCCGTGGCAAGGATCAGAAATGACCAACTGCCAATCCAAATTGCCCCGATCCACGGAGTCCATCCCAGTTTCAGCAGGGCAGGCAACAAGCGAAGCCACCACCAAAAGCTCCACATCGCACAAGAAGACAATGCCGCCATCCACCACCCAAGAAGAATCAGCTTCATAAACGTCAACATAAGGAGACCTACGTGGATGCTCCAAGACCCTTCAATCACCCCGCGCTGCCGCTCCTCAGTGGGCGGCACCTCGGCGAGGCCATAACTCCCCCCCAAGGAGAGTAAATAGAAAATGTTGAGGGACGCAGAGATGCTAATCATTTCCATCCCGAAATTCTTTGACCTTCCCAAGCGCAGGATAAAGGATGCCGTGCCAAGGGCACCAAGGAGTGGGAGGATGATGGCCTGGGTCCAAGCAGACCAGACCAAGGCCTCAGGTGCGAGGCCTGGCCCACACCACCACGGCAGCCATTTTTGGAAAATTTCTGGGTGAGGCGGGTCATTGATGACTTGGAGGTTCTTCACCACCACCGACACAGCGAAAGCCAGGACTACGCACACAAGGTGCAGCTTGCATTCCTGAGATGTGATGATTTCTACGATCCTGCCCAGGATCCTATGGATGCTATGGAAATGTGCGTTCCGAGCCTCTCTCCTGGTTTGAGGAGTGGCTAAGTTTCGGGCCTCATCATCTGGGGTGGTTGATAGACGGCCATAGGTGGTCAATCGAAGGCCATACCCAGCAACCGCCATGGCTTCGGAAGACTGTGAAACTGTGTCTGGAACTGTGAAACTGTGACCCCTCCTCAACTGCTCGTTTGAACTAAAAATCCTTGGCATATCTTTTATATATATATATATTGTTAGTATCGGATTTGTCTCAAAAATCGTCAGCCCTTCAAAATCGGACGATATACAAAAGGCCACAACAGGTCTTGTAAGTATAATCATTGTATAACCACCAACAACTTTCAAAAAAATATCCCAACATAGCCCACACATTGATGATTTCATTTTTTTCATGATGGTTTTATTTACTCCTTAAAATCATGGCACTTGTTGTTCGCCCCTCGAAAAATCTTGGTCGCCCATTCGGGCCTGGGACCTTGGGCCGTGAGGAACGTTCCAGCGAGCCGTGCTTTTAAGAGTGGTCTAACTACCAAATTTACCGGGATTTATTGAGATTATTGGGATTTCACCAACAAGAATTCGGGAAATATGATGAGAATATTAAGTTTTTTCACCAAAATGACCCTTCTGAGCATTCAGACCACTGAAATGCCATTTCAATGGATTCATTCAATGGATAGATGCGAACGGGGCCATGGAGGACATAAGAAGGCTTCAGGTGTACCAAACATTTGGCGAAGACTTGAACATTGCATGGACCCGTAATCCTATATACCTACGTAATTATGTCGCTAAGTGTGCGTATTATGTCGCTAAGTGTGCGTATTATGCATATACATTGTATTAAAACACATCAATGAAAAGTTGTAGGATGTTAAATATGTTTAATATTGAAAATATATTATGTTATAAGTCTAAGTTATAACAGGACAAAGAATTAAATATGTTTAAAGTTATACATACATTACATTATATATAATATATACGTAGTATGATGCGATGCGATTAGAACTAAACACAAGATCACACAAGTTTTTTCGGGGTGTGAGCAGAATGGGCCTCATCATTGCAGGTATCCCAATAATTCACTCGATTATGTGGACTCCCGGGCCTCTGAGCCAGACTTATGCGGTTTTGGACTGGGTTCTTGCATCCTCTCAGGACGGGCTGGGAGTTGGGTATGGCCATGAGTGAAACTCCAGGTTGGCAACTCTAAAGTTAGATTCGAGAATTAAACTACTTACAGTATTTAAATTGTCTTCAGTTGCACAGCAGGGATGGGAACCGAAAAAACCCCAAAAAAAAAAAAACGTCCAGCCGATCTGTGAGCACTGAGGCTCCCTGCCACATCCGGTGCCATGGCATTGCTGCTGTGCCTACCGTCCCTCTGAGCCATTGCTCGCATGGGTTGTATTGAAGAAGTCATGCCCCTCAACAGGGGTTGTGTGACTTGTCAGATCTGCGGATTACACAATATTAGCAGAGTCCCAATTCAAAGAGACAGAAAGATATGCAATAGTTCTGGGGCAATATCGGACATACTTTACCCTTGATGGAAGCCAGTCAATGTGGTATCTAATTGAGTCAGCGGCGATGCGTATATTGAAAATTCTTAAAACCTCTTGTAATAGCTGGTCCTTAAGTCCTTGGGTTGTCAAGGATGTCAAGGTCCTACAGTAACACCGTAATTTTGTAGACTTCCACTGGGAACAAGACTTTGAGTTGCCGGGTACTTCACTTCTCAACATCTACATTGATGTAGAGCTTCAACGCTTCGAAATGCCGCATAAAATGGGCAAACATCTGGCGATCGATATGTTGGCCCAAGCACCAAGGGTTGAATCATCTGATACTCCCGTCGTTCTTCCTGGTGGGCCCTTGGAATCTGGCTGCAGCTCCAATGGGCAAAGGATGGCAGTCGGCCAGTTCTTCCAGGTGCCTTTTTCATTTGCAGCCAGCCTCTTCCCAGGTGACACGCGCTTACGCGCCTAGTCTCTAGAGGCATTAATTTTGAATTTCGCTCCATTCAGGTAAAGCGGTTCCAACAAACTTGACAGGTTGGTGAGGGCAGCCTGTTCCAAGCATCGACGTCAATCATCCCCAATCCCTGTGATAAATGAATACGAATGATACTTGCTTGGGAAAACAATCACCCCCAAACAAACATATGATTCGTAATACTCCCACTTCTTGTTGGCTCTATCATTGTTCTCTTTCCATTTCTGAATTTCTGACTGAACTCTGGCACCAACCGGCCGGTTCTGGGACCTAAAAAA